ACCAGAGAGAAAACAAGGGGCCTAATGGGTCAGGAAGCCTGGGTGGGTTTCCAGGGGAACTGAACACTGTACGGGTGCTTGTCCAGGGTGATGCTACCACGCTACTCTGCTCTGCCTGCTGCAGCCGCCCATCCCGTGAGCTCCCGGGAGCTGTCAGTCCTCGCAGCCTCCGAGCAGGTGGAGAATGAGTCCGATGTGAACGGGCTGAGAGGACGGAGGCACAGGCCAGGCATTTCAGACCGAGCTCACGCCACGTTGGAAGTTTTCGGGAGGGCAGGAAACAATGGCTTCGTCTTCTCTGCGGCCCTCTCTCAGCCTGGACTGCAGCACAAGACCTGAAATCGCAGGGCAAAGCTGGTTCTCGGTGGGTTCCCAGCTGGATCCTGCAGGCCAGAGAGACCTGGACAGCTGGGTGGGGAATGCAATCTTCTTTGCTCCAGGTTTCCAGGCAGATCCAAGATGCAGATGCCAGCAGCAGCCGCAAACGGGAAGCTGCGGTCCCGAGAGGCGCTCGCTCGTCACAAACAGGCTTTCTCCCCCTTCCTTAGACCACCCCACTCACCCCTGCTCCTGGCCAGCCACATCTGGCTCCATTCTGGCCGTGAAGACTGACACGAACAGGAGATTATAATGCAGCGTGAGAAGGACCTGTGACATGGATCTGAATTCTTCGTGCTCCTATTGATTTCTTCCCTGCTCATCAAAGGTCTGCAGGGAAGGCAAATGACCCTGCTCCTAATGTGAGCAGCCCCCCTGGCACCACGGCGGGAAGGGGTGGCCAGCAGTTCTCCTAAAATCCCCATTTTCAGGCCATGGCAATGGGGCCTGGCCAGAGGATCAGATGATGCAGAGGACCCAGCGGACCCAGCTGAACAGTGCAGTAGCTCCCACTCCACCAAGCCTCACCCTGGGGGGTAATAGGACCAAGGCTGGCAAGTCATGGGCCCCATGGAGCGTGTGTGTCGGTGCCACGATCAGTGCCTGGCAGCAAGCATCTGGCCAGACCCCGCAGGCAGGTAGCACGCTGGCCAAGACGTCCCCGTGATGCAGTGACACGGTGCACTCAGCACCTCTCCCCTGGTCCTCGTGCCAGCCAGGTGGCTCTAGCATCTCGGCTGCAGCTCCCCCTCTGCCCCTGGCTCCAGGGGGGCTGAAGAGCCAGGCCTGGGCTTTCCAGCGGTCTGCTGGCCTTCCTGCTGCTCCGCTCACAAATTGCCTTTGCTTTGCAGACTGGAATTTCACAGGCCATTAGGCTGGCGGCTGCGCGGGGAGGCTCCTGGAGAAGGAGTGTGAGACTCACCCTGCGATATGCTGATTATGGGGAACGGAGGCACAGCACCACGCTGCCCAGCACCCAGCCTCACATAGCTCCAGAGACCCCCCGGAGCAGCCCGGGGAGCACAAAGGGGCAGAGGGGCTGAGCCCGCTGCATTTGCACGAGGCAAGGAGGTGACCCAGAATCCGCTCCATCGAGGACAAGGGCAAAATGCCCGCTAGCTGCAAATGGGATGGATCAGGCCTCTGCAGAGCCAGGGTGGTTTCCCACGGCTTTGGGACAGGAAGGCTCTGTCTGTCTAATTGCTCGCCCGCGGTGTCTTGCTGAGGTTCCAGCTGAACTCTGCTTCCCCCAGCTCGCACACACTTTGCAGTTTTGTGGACATTTTTGCATAACAAACACACTATTTGTTCCTTCCCCCCCACTCCTGGTTACCATGGCAGTGATATTATTATCTGGATGTCTTCGGAGTTTTCTACCATGCAAATGAACACAATCAAAAAGCCACTCAAGAAAAGCGGCTGAAGGAGAGGCAACTTTTACCTCTCCGAACTGCAGGTTGGAGACAGGTGATGGGCCTCAGCGAGGCTGCCGGAGCAAACCTGGCTGTGCAGGGACTTCTCAAGCCACAATCAATCTACCAGGCAGTGAATCCTGCCTCCATGGTGTTCAAATACATAGTGTCCCTCTTATTGATTTCCCACCCCCTTTCTTAACTTGCTCTTCTGGCTCCTGCTGTCTGACTACCCCTGGCTGCATCAGCAAGGAGTGCTACAGAGAATGTAAATAACCCTGCTAGCCACACAGGCTGCTCTACGCTGCCTGGTGCGTCAGGCCGGCGTCTCCTCTGGCTCGACACCAGTGTCAGGCCGGAGTGACTCCGGCTTGCTGGGTGCCAGCAGGGGACGCGCCAGCAGCGCCAGCCCCGCTGTTTGGACGGTTGCGTGACTGGATGCGCTCTGTGTGTTGACATCTGTAGCGACGCGGTGTTATGATTATTGTTGCTGAGGTAACCACAGCAGTATAATTACTCTTTTAGAGGTAATAGAAACTTATTAGATGGTAGCACCAACAGCGCCGATA